ATTCTTACATTTTCTGTTTTCTTTCCTCCGAGCTCTCATTTGTCTCACTTACCGCCAGTGTTGCTAGGCAACGGCTCACACCCACATATACTTACATCATAACAGTAAAGTCAATGAAAGGACTAAATATAAGTTGTACAAGGATCATCCTTCCCTTTAGGATGACCAGGTCAGCAACTATAAGGTGATCTACTTGTTTGTTAGTGGATGAGTAAGATAATCACAGTAATCTATCTGTGTTATGACTGTACTAATGTGCTATACATAACACTGCTTATCAAATATCATGTTCAAGTCAGTTTTAGTTTATAATAATGACCATGTTGGAAACTTGTCCGACCACGGTTCTGTTCTGCCAACATAATAAAACCACAAGCATGATAACGTCTATGAGTGCCTTCCCAAGTGCCTTCAGGGAATCAGATGAAAAACATTTCGTACCAACAACTACAGGCAGGTGCACATGCTCAGGTTTTGTTATAGAATGAATGAACGCAGCAGGTGACTGCTGAATAAAAGGGAGGGCAGAGAAAAATAAAGGGAGTTTAGTATAGAATACAAATGAAGGAGACTGAACAAAAAGATGTGTTATAAATACCCAGGCATACCTTTACGAATTCTTTCATGTTCACCCAATCATGTAAATGCACATACAGGACTGGGACAAGTTAAGACCTGCAGTGAGAGGGTGTGTGTGAGCTGTTTTAGCACCATGTGTGGGAAGACAGACACGACCGGCTCTCTGCTGTTTATTCAGATTGACACAACAAGGAGGAGAAAGAAAACAGGGACATCTGTCAGTCCAGTATTATGAACAATTCTGAAAATCCGGACTGTCTTTGATTAATGTGCACCTGCTGCCATTTGTTTACACGATTACGTGGAAGTTAAACTTCAAAAAGTCAATGTCCTCAAAATGATCGTAATTTTCTCTACTGTCACTGCCATCACCTTCACTGTTTTCTAAAAGATCCCCTCCAGACATGGATATCTGCATATAAAAAGTCAGCATGTGTCCTAATGTTATTCCACGTTAAAATCCTTAAAAAGACGTATACGTCTTCTACCTCTAAAATATTCCAGAATCTATGAATATTCAAACTTTGTTTATTTCTAATTTTGTCGCTTTTGGACACAAGATCTCTCCTTCTTTAAAGAACATTCTCAGTGTTTGTGCACTGGTGGCTTCATCACACTTGTAAAGGTTGCATACTGGACCAGGATTGACTTCCAAACTATCTGTGAAGTCACAAATCGTGTTTGTAGGCCTTAAAATCAGATTTCCAGTGAGAAACTTTCCACTGAATGTGAAAACATCCTTCTAGTTTCAAACTCTGCACATACACCATTCTGCACAGTGAAGCTCAAACATCATTCTGTAGGAACAAGAAGTAACATATATTATGAGTGGAGGAGGACTTTGAGTGTTATCATAGCAAATATAAATTATTTTTAAAAAGTAAGAAGAGTAGAAAATTAAACTTTTCCTTCAAAGATTACGTGCTTAAGCAGTCTTCATCCCTTACAGTAGTTCCCAAAATAGCACCAAATGTCAATAAAATATGGCCTGGAGTTTATAGGGTTGTTTAGCAATCCCATTTTATCCACAACCTTGTATGTATATCGGACTCATTTGTTTTTATTAGTAAAGAGGAAAAATAATTAGCATTTAGCATCAGAGATTTCCCTGCAAATGCGTCCTGATACACAGACAAGATTAATTCCTGGCACGTGAACTCAATATAAACATTCAGTCGTCTGCTAATTTAGCTCGAGAGTTTAAAAAAAAGAAAACAATAAAAAAAAACACTTAAAAGACTTTTCCAGCCCAAAGGACAAGACGGTAATCCTCTCAGCGTGGGATCCAGGCTCATTAAAACACACCACCACTCTAGTCATAAGAGGACCCATCACTAGCTGAACTGTGACCCATTTTGGGTGTGACCCCTTTGCTTAAGAAACTGGGCTGCAGAGTCTATTATTCAACATCCTGGGAACTAAACACTCCTCTCATGTGCGAGCCAAGCAGAGTTTGAATCAGCAGCCGAATAAAAGCCCTTATGTGTTCTTTCAATAGTTTAATGGACCAAACTCTCTCAAGCTGCAGCATAGCAGTGTGTGTGTGTGTGTGTGTGTGTGTGTGTAGAGAGGTAGGTTAAAGGGTGGGAGGGGTTCAGGATACAGACTAGGGAGTGTGTCCTGCAGTTTGAACAATCACACCCAAACTTCCACTTACCTCAAATCAGCCACAGGACATTTCCCTCCTATTACCTACGTTCGTATCGCCTTACGTTCACTCATCCGCGCCTCTCCTCGCCCTCTCTTCTTCTGGACTGTCTCTCTGATATCTCGCTCTCTCTCTCTACCTCGCGTGCGTCGCCTCATTGTCACTTTCCCCCCGCTCTCCTCAATTTCCTCTCTTCTGCTTTTACAGGCATCCTGGCAGCACATGTTGTTCGCCTCCGTTTCTTTAAACTTGATGTTCTTCGTGTCTCTCTCTCTCTCTCTTCTCTTCCTCTCTGCAGGTCAATTCATTTAAATTGGGTGGGTGGCTCATTGCTGTAACTGAGTAGCTTTTTCAGGGGGGTAATTGTACTTTTCTTGTAAAACAATTAAAAAGTATTTGTCTCTGATGAGGGGATATGTCACACTGATGGGGAGGGTGTAGACTTGATGCAAATGCCTAGTTTAACATTGTAAAATACTATTAGTACTAGCACTACTGCTCTGTGTCGCATGCTTGTTATACTGTTGCCCATAATGTCACTTTAGTAAATTTCTCAGAATCAATTAAGAAAACACACATAATCACTACAAGTACATGAACATTCATCATGAGAAATGTATAGCAGAATAATAGTCCTATGTTCGATGCTGAATTTGAGTAAGAAAGGTTGCCATTAAACTAAACATAGGTTCAAAGAAGTATATCTTCAATAGTCTAACAAGACTTGAGATCCAGTTTCAGTTTTGCCTTAAACAGAAAAACACAAACAATCTGCTGTACTTAGTGCCTCTGCC